CTCGTGCCAATTAGCTGAATGAACAGGACGAATCTCCTCGTCGCACTTGCCTCGCCTCGTACGAAGGAAGGTACGACTTCAGGTGTCCACACTGACACTACATATGTACCTACCAAGAGTACTGTGCTTCCCTTCCCCCAAAATCAATGTGGCCCCATGTCACTTCTCACCCCTCCCCCCAAACCCCTGCTCGCCGGTCAGACTTCCCGCGATGGGTATTACTGCTTGTGCAGATAACGGTACGAAGTACAATTATTATTGATTTTACCGAGCCATGTACTATAATTGTCGAGGAGCTACTTCACCCTCATCCACCGTTTCTGTTGTATACGAAGTACTTATCGGAAAATAGTGGTACTTTACGTCTAGGGACATCAAGTATCTTCCGTTGCTCCTTCTCTGTTTTGTCTCTCGCGCCCACATCACGGACCAATTCGCCCTATCCGCCTGGATCCTCCTTCTCCTGTCAGGTTGTGTACACGGTCCTATTATTACCACCGCACACTACCTTTTCACGTACTTCCGCCCTCCTCTGGTCTTAATGTCCAAGCACCCTGGCTCTTTTTTCGCGTCACTTTTTTTTCTGTCCTTTTTCCTTTTTCTTTCCTCTTGTCTATTGTATATTCCCATTAATGCGATATTTCCAAGTCTCACTCTTCCCTCAATCTTCCCTCTCTGCCTTTTCAAGTTTTCCCCTCGTCATCTGACCGGGTTATCGCATCTTGAACCTCCCGCGTTCGACCGGTGTTAGCCAGCAGAACCTTGCTAATCGAAGAGAACACTGAGCTTTCTACGTGGTCACTGGCCCACCCGCCATCCCATCCCCCACCCCATAATGAGCCTGTTGTTGTGGACCATCCATCCCCCCCAGCTTCGGTTATAAGAGCCTACCCAGCAAGACGGAGACGCCCCCAGATTTCCTCGACTGATTCGTTGCTCCGTGTTGGGCCATGTCTGGTTAACGTAACTAATACCCTTATAAACTCACGTATATACCCATAATATCCGAAGGAGAAAACACGCGAAGAAGGGGGGGAATAAGGAAGCCGACAGACCGTGTCATTCTCCTCGCCAGGTTTCCTCTCACTTCGTCTGCCGCGAAAAGAAACCCCACACTTACCCGGTTGAACGGCGCGTGCCTCTCTTCCCATCTCTCTTATATGCTCTGTCTCGATCCTACTCTCGCCACATTCATTCCCTGGCCTCCTTCCTCTCGGCCTTTGCACTCTCTCCGCCCAGTCGCCCATGTCTAATCCCAACATCTCATCGGATCCGTTATAAACACTCAGTTCCCTCTAGCCGACTGCTGAGGTTGTTCCGGTTCATTGGATACCTACCTGCCAATCTGCCTTGCTCACACGGCAGTCAGCTCTTGCATTCCATAGCGCAGGCTTACTCACAGAAGCTTGCTCACAATGCTTCAATCAGATATAAATTCCGAACGAAACGGCACATTTGAGGCACTCCGTAACCAGACCCCACATCAGCGCAGGTTGAGACCGCCGGACCTACACGTCATGACGAGCGAAGAGCAGCGCGTACCTTTGAAGCCGGACACAAAACTTGGCCGCCGTGAGTCGAGGATAGGCCTGCGTGGCTTGTTTGGCCGCTCGAAGACCGGTAAGGAGGGAGATGCGCCAACGTCACCGGGCCAATTAATGAAACCGGGAGGTATTCGCGCCTCCTGGGTTGATCTTAGCAGCTGGACTGCCTACGCCGGCGCGCTACCTCACCAGCGATCCACGCCCGCGTTGCCAACGATATCTGATTCTAGTGCTCCCCCGAGCCCGGCTCTCACGTCACCAGCAGCCGGCGCCGCAGCACGCCAGAAGCTCTCCAATGGAGGAGCCACGAGACCCGCGCCGCCACCGAGGATGAGTCGCGGTACGTTGGCCACATGGGATCCTCCACCGCTGTTCCAGGCATACCCGCAAGCTATACGCCACGCTCATTTGCCTGCTTGCACTCATTCGGCCGACACGATTTTGCGTCTTAGCGACAAGAGGAACGTGCGGGATGACATGGATGCGGTCGACGACACATCCGCCGATAAGGACAAGAAGAGGAAGCACCGGCGGAATCTCTCAAGCATGTTGGATTGGACGACCAAGATATATGTCCTAGTCACGTCGGGTTACCTGCTCCAGTATTCCGGGGAGGGCTCTTTTGATCGACTTCCCGAGAAGATGCTGCACCTAGGAAAAGATTCGGCCGCGTTTGCCAGCGACGTCATTCCCGGCCGGCACTGGGTCCTCCAGATCGCTTCTGTGATGGAGGCTAACGGCGCGGCGACTGCCGACTCCCGATCACTCTTCTCCCGTCTGCCTTTCCGCGCAAGCGAAAAGCGACATGCGTCAAATTTCCTGATGGTATTCGAAAGTGCAGAGGATATGGACGCGTGGATCACGATATTACGGCGTGAAATCGAAGCCCTCGGGGGAAAGAAAAATCTTTCTGAGACTGGCAAGCCAAAGGCGAATGACAACGTCTTGGAACTGAAAGCCCAGCCAAGCCAGCGGACCTTGGTTGTTAGGGATCCGGAGCGATTTTCTAGGATGATACAACCCCAGGAACTGACATGGCAGCGAACCGGTATGACGAATGGTGAAGATGCTGAAGGATCCGTAACGGTAGTGGAGGCCGATTTAACACTTGAGCAATCTATGGACGATATTTCGACGACAAACAGTGTCGTTTCGCACGACGGCAGGCAGCTTGATAATCTTCGAGACAGCACCGGTGCCAACCGACTCTCTTTCATCTCATCTGGCCAGCGCACCATCATCACCTCCGCCGGCTCATCACCAGCCTGTTCTCCCACGAGGGACAGCTTCGCTAGCCATTTCGAAGAGGTTCCCTTAAGAGATCCCGTTCCGGAGGTCCGCCCGAGGCCCAACGCCGCAGCTATAGCAGACCGTCGCCAGTCAATGCAAGGCATAAATCCATTCATCGATCCGAAGGTCGCCAGCTTCGTACGGCCTCACTCGACATACGGTCCCGGCCAGTTACCCGATCCCGCGGTAGCCTATGGCCCGACGACGCCAAACTTTAGCGTTCCTCACTCCGTGAGCAGACGGTACTCGCTAGTGAAGCCACCTGCATCCGCACTCGAGACCGCGACCATGGCGCCGCCGCAGGCACTTGATCAACAACCATTCCAATCAGCTTATCCGGCCAGGGCCAGCAGTCGGAGGTGTCCCCCGGCCGGTCTCATGCTGTCTCGGCCCCTCTCTATCGTAGCGGATCAGCCTTCTCCGATTATGGAACTAGAGGCCCTGCAAACACCCGCAACAACAGATGAATCCGATAGCGCTTCTCAACAAGAGCATACAATCATCGTCAACGTCTCTCCGCCCCCTCATTCGCCGCTCGCGGCCTCTGTTGAGAACGGGTTTGTCGGCGCCCCTAACGCGGAGGCGGCAGGATTGGCGGATGGTGATGCTGTCGGTTTGAGCGTAAATTTGACCCCGCCGCGGAAAGCAACATCAATGCAGGCTCTCCGGACAACCACGGGACACAACCTAGACTCACCTACTCCCTCTCTACCGACACGGGCCGATGTAGAGGCCGCCGAAGCTGTGCGGCGGTGTAGGTCATCTTTTGACTATTATCCTCGCCCGAGGAGCCGATCTCCATCCACCAGGACGTCAACGCAGGCCAAGAGGGCAAGTCTCCAGAATTTGAGCCCGCCAGTGGCCGACAAGCGGACGGCGCGGTTCTCTTTCTCGAATGCATCTGACCACCCGCACCCATCCCCCACGATTTCTGCCCTCCGTGCATTTTCTCAGTCGAAGCAAGGGATGCCCCTCGGACCAGTGACTGCCAACGGTGTTAATGGAACGCAAACGTACCCGAACGGGCGCCTATCCATAGACAAGCAGGCCGTCCCAATCCGCCGGAGCATGCCGCAACTCGTTGAGGGACCCCCTCCAGCTCCTCCGCCGACCTGTGCTCTCCCGCCAATCCCGCAGAGGCGGGTCAAGGCATAGACGCTTGCCCACATCGGCGACCCTTTTCCACTCTCTTTTTTTTTTGCTCCCTCTTTCAGTTTTCCTTTGTTACGAGAGCTCTCACATCTTTCTGTGCTTTTGATTGAGTTTGGTATAACTCAGTCTGGCCTAGACTTTTTTCCCTTTGTAGCTGCATACCCTCTTGACGACTTTGCAAGTTTCGATGGCCGATTACGATGCATACTCCTAAAGAAGGTCCGGGATATATTTCAGGCGTTACTAATTCTTTTTTTTTTTTTTTTTTTTTTTTTTTTTTTTTTTGGCCCTTTTCCTTTGAATGTATAGATACCGCTGCTACGTTAGAGATGCGTATGAGAAGGGAAGGCGCCCACTCCGCCAGGTAGCAGCTAAGGGTGTTTTTGGAGTATTTGGGTTTTTTCGTTTTTTTTTTTTTTTTCGGTCTGATTTTCTGGGCGAGATCTCCGGATGAGACAAGAGTTATGCGATAGCATATGGGAAGGAAGGGAGTCTTGGGGATCAAATGACGGGTCATGCGGACTACGTAGGATCAAATATTGGGGAATTGAAGACTCTTGACTTGCTTGAAGGACTGAAGTGATGGTGACGTTGAATTCAGTTGGTGAGACGATGACCTGCTGGAATTCTTAGGTCAGCAGCGCTGAGACAGGCCGCCACTTCATTGTTCTGTGACTTCATTGTTCTGTGTTCTGATCGGACGCTAAGAATGTTTTGCCGATAAATTCCCGCCATTTATCCCGCATCTGGGGTCGCCCACCTTTGCCCCTCCACAGAAATCTTGTGCTTTCAGTCAACGCCACACGAAAAGTGCGAAATTCGAGGAACTCAAATAGATGTCCCCCTCCAGAATTTTGGTCGACGAGATCCTACGAACCAAAACCAAAACAAACCCAGCTTCCGAGATTTTCGAGTCGAATCAAGCGAACATCACTGAACGACTGACTGTGAAATTTTGAGCCACCTAAATATCCGATCAAATCCAATAAAAAAAGCTCTAAGAAACCATCCAACATGGCGACCAAGACTAAGTACGTTTGCAGACAGACCCGCCCACATTCGCCCCCTCCTCCCATCCCGACGTTCCCAACCCCCATATCTAACAACTCATCCCTTTGTAGGCACGACTGGGCCGACGATGAAGACATCGACGAGATCTCCACGGAGCTCCCGCCCGCCCAAACCATCAGCAACAAAGACGGGACCAAGACGATTATCACCTACCACATCAACGAGAACGGTCAAAAAGTGAAGACGACCCGGCGAGTACGCTACACGACGCACACCGAGAAGGTGAACCCCCGGGTGGCGGAGCGCAAAGGATGGACCAAGTTCGGCGCGAGCGCCAAGGACACCGCGGGACCGATGCCGGACACGACGTCGGTGGGCGAGAACATTATCTTCCGGCCGAGCGTCAACTGGCGCAAGGATGCCAAGGACGAGAAGACGGATCCCAACGCACAGGCTTTGAAGGATCAGCTCAAGGATAAGAAGGTCAAGTGTCGTATCTGTAACGGGGAGCATTTCACCGCGAGGTGTCCGTACAAGGATACTATGGCGCCCGTGGGCGAGACGGCTACGGCTGATGTTGCTGCGGGCATGGGTGATGAGCCGGCTCCTGTTACAGCGGCGGCGGCGGCGGCGGCGAAGAAGGGATCATATGTGCCGCCTGCTCTTCGTGGAGGTGGTGCTGCGGCTGGGGAGAGGATGGGTGGAAAATATGGCGAGAGGGACGATTTGGCTACGCTGCGTGTCACAAACGTAAGTTTTCTTGGCTTAATGATTTTCTTTTCCCCCTCTTCACGGAGCCCGGGCTTTGTGTAGCCTTTGCTGTAACACACACAGAACTTTATAGCTAACTGTTTCACTTTTTCCAGGTCTCCGAGATGGCCGAAGAACACGAGCTGCGCGATATGTTCGAGCGGTTCGGCAGGGTCACTCGTGTGTTCCTCGCCCGCGACAAGGACACCAACCTCGCCAAGGGCTTCGCCTTTATCAGCTTCGCCGACCGCGATGATGCGGTCAAGGCGTGCGCCAAGATGGACGGTTTCGGTTTCAAGCACTTGATTCTCAGAGTAGAGTTTGCCAAGAAGGCTGCTTAAGGAGAGATAAGAGGAGAGCAGAGGGTAGTTTGGTAAAAACGAAAAGAGTATGTGTTATTCATCGAGGGGGTTGGTTTTCTTCTTTCTTCATGAAATAGGGTACGGGTATCCGGGTTTAGATGTCATGTTTTTTTTTTTTTTTTTTTTTGTTAAAGTCACTCGAACTACTGAGGTAGATGTAGCTATGAATTCAAAGAGAAGGAAAAATATGAGAAACTAATGCTTCTTCTTGCTTTATCTGAAAAGGGAACTGTGGAAAGAACAAAATGCTAATTATGCTGGTTGATGAGAATGAGCTCGTGTACTCCGTACATTCCTGCCTTGTTCCCGTGCCCAGTTCGCCACATTAATATATGACCGTCATGATGATATTGACAAAGGAGATTAAGAGTTTCGTCCGGACTTGATAAGTCGGAAACTGGGAAAATATCAGAGAGAGTGTCGCGGGGAAACAGCTTTGCGTGTACTGTCCCCAGATTAAGTAGTATGTGAAGCGCGCGAGAGAGAGAGAGACGAGTAAGACCGAAAGATGATGAACGCCGTTTGACGCAAGGAAAGATGCCATTTGGTTAGTAGATTGGAGTTCTGAAAAGACCGGAAGGTTAGCAGTGTCGAGCTGCTGTGTTTGAATGGTTATGCTTCGGTGAACGGATGGCGTATAAGTCTGGATGCCCACGGAATGCAACGGCATACGTGTTGATATGGCGAGTTCGGATCCGTTATGAACAAAGAAAGTCGATTATGAGAAGAAAAAGGATCTTGAGGAAAAGAAATCAATAAGAGCGGAGGGATGGGGTATCACAAGAAGAAAGCTAAGGAGAAGAAGGAAAACAATCTGCACATCACCACCTCTTCACACCTTCTTCCCCTTTCCCTTTCCCTTCACCTTCTTCTCATCCTCCGCCTCCTTACCCTCCTCTCCCTCATCCTCCTCCTCACCATCCTCACCCTGCTCCTTGGCCAACTTCTCCTCCAACTTCCTCCTCTCCTCCTCCAACCTCTTCCTCTCCTCTTCCAGCTTCTTCCTCTCCACAACCGCCCTCTTCCTCCTCTGCTCCCCCCACCACCCCCTAACAGCCTCCCCCTTCTCCCCCAAAACAGCCGGGACGCCCCTAGCAGCCGCCCACGACAACTTCACGGCAGTAGAGAGGTGTTTGCCCGCCTCGGCGTAGTGCGCCCGCGCCTCGGAGAGGTCCGCACGCGCGATGGTGGCGTGCTTTCGGGTGCGGTAGGTGCGCTCGGCGCGGCGCGCGGTCTTGAGCTTCTCGGCGGCGTCGCGGCGGGTCGTCATTAGGTTGGCCAATGTGCCTGAGGTTCCGGGCCGCGGGACGGGGAGTGGCTTGTCGCCGGGTTCTTTGACGGGTGGGGCGGGGGCGTCTTGTGGGTTTGGGGGAGGGGTTTGTTTGGCCATTTTGGATGAGAACATTTGAATGAGCGTGGATAGATTTTTTTTTAGTATTCTTGGACTGATTATCTGATATGATGGGCGAGAAAGCAGAATCCGCATGGGGAGGGAAAAAAGGAAGACAGAGAAACGACGACAAGGAGGACCAAGATCCTCGTCTTATATTCAGAGATCTATATGACTAGTTTCTTGACCCCTACCAAAAACCGTGTGATCTGAAGAATAACGAACAGAAAAGGGGAAGGAAAAGAAAAAAAATTTCTAGTGGCCTTCCATTCCGGCTCATAATCATCGAAGTTCATGCAAAACCTGCGAAGGAATCCAGGGCCGGGTTCAGGGTCCTTTAACCCCAGGCCCGTCATGGCTGGTTCCGCCCATCTCAGCCGGGCACGAACGAGTGAGAAATGAAGAAGAACTGACCAGGGATCTATCGAGTTGAAGCATTAAATAGCACTATGATCGACTCTTTTCCCTTCGGGGAATGTTTCAAGGTTTTTTTTAGGCCACGGGTTGCGTTTGGATGGGGATGATGGGCCAAGGAGGGTGGAGTTGGGATGGTTTCGCATGACAATGTAATCAAACGCGTGTCGCGATGTGGGAAATAGGATACACACGATTTGCAAGTAGGATGGGGAGCTATAATAGCGTTTCCCGACATTAAGTGGTTTGAAGAATTCGAACAGTTCGGTGTCTAGAGCGGGGAGAGGCCTTTGGGCTTCTTCGAAAGATTACAAGTTGATCAAGACCCCTACCTTTGACGAACGGGTGGTGCAAGCAAGAAGCCACACTTAAACCCACAGACAATGAATGTTTCAATGCCATGATTAAGAAACCTAGTTTATGATGTCGTCCATTCAAACCCGTGCCGCCTGGCGCAGGCTTAACGCCACCTCCACTTGGAGGGCTAGACCAGGCGATGGGATAGGCTCAGGATTGACTGATGCATCTCTCTCCAGGTTAAACTCGGAGAGCGAAAGAGAGACAGAGCAAGGCTCGGCATGCAGTTCCTATTATGTCAGAGATTCTCACAGGAGTTCGGCTTGGATGCAGTATGTGAGTACCTGCCTCGGAGTACAATGGCACGATTGCCAAAGCCGCATCACAATCGTGCGCTCAATGGTTCCTTTATAGTGCGGGTTACTTCGCGGCTGCAGCGTTCCCTCCCCATCTTCTCTTCCGCATCGACTTTCCCCACCGCTGGATGAATCCGCCCGCGTCGGCGTAGTGCCGGAGTGGGAGGATAGGAGCACGCGACCCTACACACAAGAACACCATCCATTCCAACTCGCGACTTTGGATTCGCTTTTGGGGAAGAGGGCTGCCCACACGTGCCTTTTACCTGGTTTTTATCTGGCTGGATGATGTTTGAATGATGATTCAGTGAGAATGCAGGTAGCAAGATTCGATTTCTTGTCGATCAAAGTCATGTTGTTCGGTTTTCTGGTCTTTTCCGAGTCGCCGAAGCCACTAAGACGAATGGGAGGTTGGTACAAATTTGGAGTACAGGTACAGCCTTGGGTACAGGCACAAGTACAGGTACAGGCTCTGATGCATATTCACCAACACAACAGACACTCGATGGTGACCTGATCACATGCGAATGGTTCACACTAAAATCCAAAATCCAAAATTTTCAACTTTTGACCGCTCCAGGAAAAGTTGCCAGCAAAACCTCAGAGATCCCCCGCGTGCTCATCAATTGGCTGTTCCATCCCACGACCAGCCTTCCTCCAAGTGTGGTTGCAGCAGGCAAAAGCAGGGAAAAGCAGGGAAGCATCTGTACCCAGTCAGGTCAAACGCAAACGATCCAAGATTTTCAACATTGGATAATCTGATCGATCGGACCATGTCCTTGTGCTTTTTCTAAACTTGAGTCTAGACCTCCTTGGCCTGGGCTGGCAGGCCAAATGCCAATGACAGCTGCTAGACTGGGTCGTCAACTCGTGGGGGATTTAAGCTGTCCTGTCGTGTGACGTAGCGCCACCACCCGGCAGAACGACAGGTTGGACTGACGGACTGACGGACTCTCACTCTCGGTCTCACTCTCCAACTTGAATATTACTGACGGAGAAAACTCGCATCGACTTCCTGTTCTTAGTAGCCTCAATTTGAGGTGCGAGGTGGCTCGAACTGATGATCTTCCAAGTTCCCCAGCCTATCGCCTGGCCGCGGGTGGCATCACTGATGGGGCCGGTCCACGATTTCGCTATTTCGGTAGCCGCGGCCTACGAAGTAGGCTTAATTCAAATTCAATCGCCAGCCCGTTTGTTTCCAGCGGCTTCCATTCGATCCCGCGCTCTCCCGTTGGCCGAAATTTGATTCGAGGTTAGTAGGGGCATCGTCGGCACTTGAGCACTCTGTTTTATTTTGCTTCGTTTTTTTCTCGAAACAGGAACATGAACTCTTCTGTCAAGAATGATCTAGAAAAACTGTCATCTTCTTTCCTCTGCCATCTTCAGCTTGTAGCGTGATGCCTGTCGATCCATCCATCAATCCATCCACTCTTCGATTGTCACGATATTTAGTGTCGCCTTTTTAGTGTTACTCGTCCCCAGCACGTCATGTGTATCAGGAACACCAGGTACCAGGCACTAAGTACCTCTACCTTCCCAACTCAACTTCGTGGCTGCCTCTGATATCCCAGATTCCCCACTAATCTACATTTTGATCGTACCCTGCATTGTGGCCTCGCTCTCGCACGCTCGCACTGACGGAGAAGCACAACTTCATCGATAAGGAATACACAAGCCCTCAACTTGGACAAATCTATTTCCCTCAACAACAACATCACCGCTCAAATTTGGATCCTCTCTTTCTAACCACTCGAATCGGGGTATTTTCACCCTCTCGCTCTCTCGCTCTCTCTACTCTCTCTCTCTCCGTCCTGCCAACATCCCGTCCCCTTCCTTCGTTAGCAATTGTGACCGCTTTTCCGCTTCCCCGTCTCTAGATTTCAAAGAGAACCGGGGCTGGGGCTATCCACATCCCGAACGCCCTCAACGACGTTCAGGATGAGCTCCTCATCAGCACAAGCCAACCCCGAAGGTGCTGCTTCCACAAGCGGCATTCGGCAGAGGCAAACCACGACGAATAACACTAACCATGTCGATGTCGATGTCGACAATGATACCCTTGAGAGTGTAGACTCTACCTCCGACGATGAGGATGAGTTGCGGAAGCCCACCAAGACCTATGGCAGGACACCCGACGGGACAGGTACGATAAGCTTCTAGTCATTGCACATTTTTTTTCTCCCTATGCCCTACCTCTTTCTCTCATGCCATTGCCGCTAACTGTAGTGTGACTTTAGTGTTTACTGTCCCTACCACCCACGACATGGTCTCGCAGCTCCTCGATCCTCGCCAGCCGAAGAACCTTGCCGACGCCATTGTCATAGCCATCCTCGCCCTCCACATTGCCCTGGCCTACGCACTTCCCTCGAGTTTCAAGCGTCCCGTCTTCGCCCTCGTCTTTTTATTCTGGAGAGCCTCGTATAACATTGGTATCGGTTACTTGCTAAGTGTCCAATCGAAACACAGGCGGCTTGTGACTTGGGCCAAGAGGTGGAGACTTTTCGAGCACCCTTCGACGGGTAACCAGCCTCGACCCTGGTTCTACAGCCTCCTCAAGAGCGAGTTTGAGACCAAGATTCCCGAGGATTACGAATTCGACAGGGCCCCCATTGAGTATAACACATGGCTTCTGTTCCGCCGCGTCGTCGATCTGATTCTCATGTGCGACTTCGTCTCCTACTGCCTTTTCGCTATTGTTTGCTCCAACACCCCCGCCGGCGAGTCGCTGGCCATCTACTTGACGAGGTGGGCTCTCGGCATCGGTCTTGTCGGATTCAACCTCTGGGTCAAGTTGGACGCTCACCGTGTCGTGAAAGACTATGCCTGGTACTGGGGCGATTTCTTCTACCTCATCGACCAGGAGCTCACCTTTGACGGTGTATTCGAGATGGCGCCTCATCCCATGTACTCGATCGGCTATGCGGGCTACTACGGCATCTCTATGATGGCAGCCAGCTACGACGTTCTCTTCATCTCCATCCTCGCCCACGCTGCCCAGTTCGTTTTCTTAGTCTTCGTTGAGAACCCCCACATCGAAAAGACGTACAATCCTCCGGCGCCTCGCAAGAGGACCCTCTCTACCAAGTCCGAGTCTACGACTTCGAACGGTGTTGATGACGCTCTGAACGGTTCGGCAGTTGCTGCCCCAGCGGACGAGACTGAATCGCTATCCCAGGTCCACAACCTCGTCGGCCTGAAGAATCTCGATCTCTTCAGAGCCACCGATTATACAGTAATTCTTCTCTGCGGATACGTTGGTATTCTTGCTCTAGTAACGCCTTCCACTCCTCTGTACCAATTCCTCTTCGTCATCCACGCTGCTTTCTGGCGTCTATGGTTTACTGTTGGCCTCGGCGTTATACTCGACCAGCAGTCCAGGAACAAGATTTGGACCCGGCACTTTGTCAAGTATGGCGAGTCCCCCGCCGAAGCGTGGAACCAGTGGAAGGCACTGTACCACATCAGTACTACTATGTGCTACGCCTCCCTCATCGCCGCCTGCTGGAAGATGTACGTGCCTCCGGAGGACTGGAGCTACGGTTGGATGCCTCTGAAGCACGTGGTCGGAGCCGGTCTCGTCGCCCTGCACATCTGGACGGCCACGAGCATCCACGAATCCCTCGGCGAGTTTGGTTGGTTCTTCGGCGACTTCTTCTTCGACAGCCGCGGCAGGCTCACCTACACGTCCATCTACCGCTTCCTCAACAACCCCGAGCGTATTCTGGGTTCTGCCGGTATCTGGGGAGCGGCGCTCATCACCTGGAGCCGAGCCATCTTCCTCATGGCCCTCATGAGCCAGATCCTAACCTGGGGCTTCCTCTCGTACGTGGAGAAGCCGCACATGCAAAAGATTTACGGCAGGAACGTTCGCCACGAAGCCGGTCTCACCAAGTTCATCAAGAAGTCTCTGCCGCCACCCGTCAAGACCTGGCAGGAGAGCATGGACAAGGTCTGGGACGAGACGGCAACGTTTGTCGCCGACTTCCTCGATACTGCGCGACCCAAGCTTGCGGGCGGCGTCAAGACGATCGTCCGAGACACCAAAACGTTGTTCAACTCTCCCGCTCGACTTACCATCACGCGCTTGGCGCCCGACTTGGCCGGCTACGATCCCAAGTACTACTCACTTAGCATCGAGGGCACGCCCACTGCGGCTTCGGTTCACGACGAGCGCGCCACGGGCAAGGAGAGCCTCACGGCCAGGTTCAGGCAGGGCACGAAGACACTTAGCTTCGAGTACGGCGCCCCGCTGAAGGTCAAGTGGACTGCCCCAGCCAACCACGGCAAGAAGGACTGGATCGGCCTGTACATGGTAGCGGACAACCACTCACGCGAAGTCACCGACACCGGATCTCTCGGCCGCTGGGTCCCCACGAATAAGGGTATGTACGACGAGGCGACGACGGACAAGGCCATCACGATGACGGAGCGCAGGGTCGAGAACCCCGCCGACCCCACGGGCCCCGAGCTCGTCGAGGGCGAGGTCACCTTCTCCGGAGACAGGCTCTGGTGGACGCAGGGCGTGTTCGAGTTCCGGTACCACCACAACGGCCGCCACAACGTCATGTCCATCTCGCAGCCCTTCGAGGTGCGCATCTCCAAGTTCACCGATGACGAGGAGCCGGCCCCGGCCCCTGCCGATGGTGACTCGTCGAACGTGTACGAGCGCGCCGTCGAGTCGGCACTCCTGCCTATCGTGCGTAACTGCCTCGATCGCGACCCGGACATCGCGCCCTCGACGGTCGACGAGCCGTTCGGTAGTCACGTCGAGAGGAATAGCAAGTACGCTAAGAGGGTTGTTTATGCGATTCATCAGATGTTTGGCGTGGAGTTTGCGGCGGCGGTTGTTCCGGCTGATGGGAATGTGAAGAAGTTGGCGTGGAGGATTTGCAATGCGAAGAAGGTTTTGGTAAGTTGTAGTAGGGACGGGACTTTGACTGACCGGAGCTGACTAGCTAACTCGTTCTTGTCCACAGGCTCCATACAGCATGTCTGCTTCAAGGGGAACAACCACGCCGATATAATTCCATCCGATGTTTGTTTATCTTTATTTTCTGTTTTTGGATACGCCATCCCAGGGACTCTAGACTATTATAGCGGATGGGTGTTTCTTGATGGAGGGGAAGAGGAAGGGAAAAGGAAAAGAAAACATGGGTTACAACTTGATGTAGTTTAATGCATTGATGAGCTTCTGTCAACTCTCCCTCCTTTCCTACTCGGGGTTTTCGGTGGTTCGAGAGCATTTTTGATATGGTTGATGATGCTGGAACGAGTCTCGCTTGTTTTTGATATAAAATAATTGGGGGGGAAGGGGAGTAAGGGGTTGGTGATGGTGAATATAATGAAGGCATTAATAGCAGAATAAGCCGAAGGGTCTTGTGAAAGATCCACTCTTCGTGATAGCAGGTCCGGGGAAGCCATAGTTTTCCATACTCTCAGGATGAACAAGTGAAGCTGGGTGGATGTCAACCCTTGGATGTTCCATCCTTCCACACTCCCTCTACGACGGGTCTATTCCACCATGCCCGCTTTTCGAGTCAACGGGAGACGCTTATTCGACACCAGGCGCCCTATTGTTCAGAAGCAGGTCGTTCTGCAGGTCGTTCTCCGTTATCATGTTTATTCGCTTCACCTTTGGCTTCACTCGCTTGGCCAATCCTAAGTTGCAATAATGGACGTGGCTTAAATAACACCATGCCCGTTGAGACACGATAGATGCTCAGCATCCATCCATATATGCAGGGGTCTTGATACACGTGTTAAATGATCGATGCCAGACCTCCCGAATGTGATACAATCTTCCCCGGGCCTCCCCTCCCCACAATCGGAATGCAACATCTATCCACAAAAACGAGGGAGCCGTCAAATATGATTTTTCGGTATTAGGCTTGCTGGGAGGGCGCACAGGGTCATTTCTTCGGGGTGTAGGATCTTACGCTTAACTTTCATATCCTATACTATTTACTCTCATTAACTTATAAAGACGTTTTAAGGCAATCTTGTGTGCATTACTTCGTAGTGGAGAGCAAGAGGGAAACGCGGGGGGGACGGCATGCCCATCCGGTGAGATCGGGGATATAGGCCGGGTGTAATTAAAGTTTAAGAAGGGAATATGTTCGAGATGTTCGAGATGTTCTATCTGGGATTGGCTAGTTCGAACGGTTTGATATTGGAGGGCATGAGATCTATGAGATGAGATGAAAAAAAGGAGCGAAAAGAAAGGTGGTTTATGTCCGATGTATTAGTGAGGGAGGATTCCAGTGCCGGCAGCCGTAGTGGAGGAACACCACCTTTCCCTTGTGTTTTGTTTCATAATTTTTTTTGTTGCCCTCTTGTAATATGTGCATGGAAAGACAGTAGAAGACAGATGGCCTCTAGAAAAGATCCGATTGTATGGGATATGGCCGGAAGCATCTTGCAGTTGATATCCTTCTTGGAAAGACCATCTCACGCATGACTCCATTCCCACAACCACAGGAAAGACCCCAAACAAGTCTTCCGGAGAAGCGAAGGATTAAAATAAATAGTAAAATTAAATGAAATAATAATAATAAAAAAAACACGAATTGGTGAAATGGTAACAAAATAAAAATAAAATGTGAAAAAGAAGAAGAAGAAGAAGAAGAAAAAGAAGAAGGGGAGAAAGACGACAACCTCATCGCTCCGCAAGAGAGCCACATACATCCAACAGGAGTTCAATCTCGGAACCCGGCAGTCAATCGTCCGCAGATAGAGTGTGGAGAAGAATATAATCTACAAAGGCTTGGGTAGATATCCTCCAAATCCACCAAGCTTCCCACGGTCCCGGCTAATTGACCCCGAAGATCTCTCAGCAGTCCCAGAGTCCATCGAGCCCTCTCAACTCTTTCTTGTCACCGTTGCTGTTACCTCTAATCTCCCCCCACTCCCCGGCGCGCACGAAAGAATATTTCCCGTCGATTGCCATTCGCGGAAACTTTCTCCTTCGGGGCATGGACGGCAGCCGGAACGGGAAAGAGATCCTGTCCCGATGCGAAAGGGAAATAGAGTCAAATTGGCACTCTATGTCGCAAAGCGGGTGGGACCATCAATTGAATCTCATCGTTTCATTTCAGAGAAAGAAGAAGAATGAGCAAACGTATGAAAGGTTACCTTTGTGCGGGAGAAGGATGAGGAGTATGGGGAATTCTTAAAAAGGGTTGGAGAATATCGAGTTTGGACTCTGGGAGACGACGGGGACACGCGACTTGTTTCTTCTTTTCCCTTTTGAACGAAGGTTTGGACCTTGCTTTCGTCTCTTCTTTTGTTCCTACTTACACTCTTTTCTTCCACTCTTTTTCTCCTTCTTCTCTACAGCCCTGGTCGCTGAGGTTAACCCAATCCCGAGGCCCTCCACGAAGATGAAGAGTACCCTCCTCCCGCGGGGCCTCCTCGCCCTCACGACCCTCACTCTCCAAGCCTCCGCAACCTTCCTCTACGCAGCCTCCTACTCGGGCGACGTGACGACTCTCAACCTCACCCTCGCCGAGCCCACACCGTCCCGCGCCCGCTGCAACGGAGCCACCAAGCCTCCCGCGAATGGCACCCTCGTCGAAGTGAGCTCCACAAATGGGTGTGCAGGCAGTCCTGCGTGGTTGGAGCTCGACTACGATAACGCGCTGCTGTATTGCTCCGACGAGGGGCTGACCAAGGCGACGGGGTCCATGTCGTCTTTTAGGACAACGGATGATGGGGAGTTGATTCTTTTGAATAAGATTAATACGAAGCAGGGACCTGTGAGTTCTGTGCTTTATGGAAAGGGCGGATTGGCTGTTGCGCATTAGTGAGTTGGAACAAACACGCTCGAAGCTTTCTTTCCCTTCTCTCAAGTAACAAACGAGAGAGACAGAGACTGTGCGAAAAGAAGAGGAAAGCACTAACATAGGAACACAAAGCGCCGGCTCAATGCTCAACCTCATCAACGTCACAGACCCCGAATCCCTCACCCCCTTCCAAAACCTAACCTTCACCCTCGACGGTCCCGGCCCCAACAAAGGCCGCCAGGACGCTCCCCACCCGCACCAGACCGTGCTCGACCCCACGGGCAAGTTCATCCTCGTGCCCGACCTGGGCGCCGACCTCGTGCGCGTCTTCGCCATCTCCGACGAGGACGGACTGACCGTCACGGCGGGCGAGCCGCTCGTCGCCGCGGCAGGGAGCGGACCGCGTCATATATCGTTCGCTGAGAAGAAGGACGGGTCGTTCGTTATGTATTTGATCTCTGAGCTTTCGAATACCATTACGGCGTATAACGTTGTTTACGGTGAGGAGGAGGGGGAAGAGGGGATTTCGTTTGAGGAGGTGTTTGTGATTCCTACGCATGGCGAGGGGGAGGAAGTCCCCAAGACTGCTGGCGCCGCCGAGATTCTCGTCTCTGTAAGTTTGGAACCCTCGATACCAGTCCTGGAATTCTATTTTCTTTTTCTAACAGAATATTTTGCCCCTAATAGCCCGACGGCAAGTTCCTCACCATCTCCTCCCGCATGGAAGACGCCTTCACGATCCCCAACCCCACCCCTTCCGAAGACGACGAAGACTCCCCCGCCGAGATCCCCTCCGACACCCTCGTCACCTTCTCCATCGATTCCTCCTCTGGCGCCCTGACCCTCGTTCAAAAGGCTCCGGCGGGTGGTCGCGGCCCGCGCCAGTTCACAATTAACAAGGAGGGGACGCTCGTGGCCGTTGCGCTGCAGGCGGACAGCAGGGTGGCGGTCATCGGGAGGGATGTCAAGACGGGGGAGTTGGGGGGCGTTATTGCCGCGGCGGTCGTGAAGGGCGGTGTTACGGCTGTTATTTTCGACGAGTAGAATGAGGGAGTTGGGGCAAAAGGGGATATAGAGAGATAGAAGTCGGAAAGGGGAAGGAGAGAAGGTCGTTAAAACGGGGTTTCCTTCACAAGACGAAGCTTAGTTTTACTGAATGCTAGACACGATTGAGGGTTCCATTAAAGGCGGTAGACTTTCTGTTTTTTTTTTTTCTGCGTCCCTTCTGTTGGATATCGAGTGAGAGAGGCGAACAGAATGACACGACTACAGGCGATCCGATCCCCGTTGTCGTCTTGGGCTTGGGATGACATGGGAGATGACATGGGAGGCAGGGACCGTGACGCTTGTCCAAGGTTCACGCTTACTCGACTGTATCAACGTCGCCATCTCAATTCAACTTGAATTCAAATACCAACGCCCGCACGTCTTCTCTCGATTCACACACCCTTCCTCCTCTTCAAAGAACATTTGCCACTCGAGCCCCGGTCCGCTCCACTGCAGAAGAAAAGGGATCAATGCATCTGTCCGCGATGGGAAATCTACTAGCAACCGCAGGGAAGGGGACATCGGACTAAAGATCACAAGTTAGAAAGGGGACGGGTCTAGAGCGGGCGTTTTGAAAAGGAGCAAAGCAAAGCGAAAAATAGGGCCTGTTATCTTGCTGCGTTATGGACCCGACGAAATGAGTGTAAGTCTTTGTGAGGAAATGGGACAAATGCGGGTGGCTCAAGTTAATCCGGCTTTCGGCAGCCCGAATGGGACGAGCGGGCGGATGGCACAGGGCTGCTCAGAGTTCTCGAAGTCTCGGACCAGGATCGAGAGGACGGAAAAACTATTTGCGAGATTCCGAAAGAGGGAAGGTCTGGATTGGTTTAATGCTTTCATGGAGATCACTTCTGGATGGGATCGACGAAGCAGAAGCAGAAGCACACGTCGACAACATTAACCCCCCCGGTCTACGTTGTAGTAGCGGAGTTGAAGCAGCCGACCGCCGCCGTCCTCCCCTTTTCTAGCCAGGGCATTATCTGACCCCGAGTTTTGGGTGAGGAAGCCCAGGGAAAAGGCCTAACGACAAGAACAAATTTGGTCCTGCCAAACGAACACTAGAAATGGTCGCGGGTAACGCCCATCACTCAGTAGGATGTGCGACCAGGCCATCCCTTTCCTCCCCAGTAATCTAGGCGAACACGTAATGAGCGCCGAAAAGACGTAACAAATAGAGCCAAACATGGGCTGAGAATGACGAGTAGGTTTGATAAATGCTGGAAGAGTCTAAATTGCAAGTGTCTTCCACATGTCAGTGAATGTGACAGCGGCAGAGAATCGCCGGAGAAGGGAAAGAAGAAATCAGGGGAACAGGGTCTAGATTGACCCAAGTAACGTCGGTCAATCGATGGAACCAGGCCTAAGGAGAACGACTCCCCTGTACGAAGGACCGAAGGTATATGCAGTGCACGCCACATCGTTTCTGTGAAGGGACACAAGGGGTCCTGTAATGTGGATCTCATCCGCACATGGAGGTTTTCTGGGTCAGTTGGGGACGAATTATTTGATCTTGCAGTAGTAGTACGAAGTACGTACTCCGTAGGTACGAAGTATGCCAACATGTAGAAAAGAACCAGGTCGTGGACTGCACAAGCGGTCGGAGCGGCCGGGTTAGGGACCGGAGTTGGGGGCGGTGATGGAAAGGGCTGGAGTCGTATGTAGCATTTGCTTGCCGGTTGCCGTTTGCTGTTGCGAGACACGTGTGTGGTGTGCGGCACGTCCGCAGCTGCAAGCAACCTGCAATGACGGGGATCGAAGGCGTACGATGTGGTATGGTGATACTGCAGAGCTCAGGGCGGACTACCCTTCATGGCTTCATAGCGCCTCGTGGAGGCTCAAATCCCGTCGATTGTTGGGACGGCATGCAAAAGTTGGTGGCGGCTACATGCCCCTTGCAACTAACCTTGAAAACTACAATCAATATCGTCACTGGAGGGGGTTGTCGCTAGAGCTATGAGGGTAGGTAAAAACTCTCGGAGTAAGAAGAACTTTGAATGGACTCTAATAAAGCGCGCCTTGAAACTCTTCACCATCCCACTGGCAGCTAATATCCTGATATTGGCGATACCAAGGTCCGCAGGAAGCGAGCTAATCCGGAAGATGAGAAAGCCCACATCGGCTTCCCTCGGTAGAAATAAATGAAGTATTCGCTAGAGAGAGGTCTGGGACAGCGTTCTGGTGCAGAGGCTGGTGGTGCTTCCACTTGTCCTCCAAGCAGGTTGTGTCCGGCGTCACATCACGGACATTCACATACTTTACTCGATACAGCTTGTACCACAAACCGACATGACCACTGCAAGAGCTCCAATGAGATCTTGGCATTCCTCATCCACTGAGATAATTAAGGACTCTTTGTAAAGGAATGGAAGTTATCGACAGTAGGAGAAATAATAATATAAAAACACAAAACTGTTATTTTTTCGTGGCTGATCTCGAGTCCAAGACGAGCCTCATCACACATCACAGGGCACTTACACCAGACCCCTTGTCCAGGGACGAAAACTAGTGCGTTATTAATGAATAATTTCACCTTTTTAGGTGTTGCGCATATGTGGGCGCTCTCGGAACCGTTCCCCTTGTTCGTGCGGGTTCCAGATTGATTCGACGGTCCGTGGTCATGGTCGAAGCAACATGAGCTGTCATCATCATCATCACGGCGCTGCCCTGACTCAAGCTCCAAATGCTCCGGTTGCTTCCGAGTCCCACGCCTGATATTAAACCGCACATGTGCTCTTTCAACTTAGAAGAACCGCCTGTGTAAATAGACCACGGCTTCTCGTGATCAAAGATGGAGGAACCCAACCCTCACCGCCGTGCGTCTAGTCCACGGGTCGAACCAGCTACTTTCGTAGACCAAAATTTGTCAAGATGGACGATTCAGCGAATACAACATCGAGCTAGAGTTTGGGCCTAAGGTTGGTATCGAGCGGCAGGGACGATGATGATCCCTGATCCTGAAGATAGTGTGCGATGGAGAAAGCCTCTCCTGAGATCTGAGATGACTGTCCGTTCAAATCAGAGAGATGTTATGGTTGGCCCCTTCTTATTTCCAACGATTCCTTCTTTCTAGTTTGCAACAATTTGAAAACATGGTCCTCGCACATTGTCCAGGGGTTCGTGTCTACCTCGTATAATAGCTCGAAAGCAGAAACGATCAAGTCACACCTCAATATCCTCCCGTACGCGCACACCACTTCCCATCTCCGCTCCATCGTAAAGCAAGAAGAGTAGGCCCGCCGCCAACACACTTGTGTTTCTGGCGGGCCTTAGAAAATTAGGATCCTTGAACCTGTACACGAGACCCAGCGGTGCGGATCGGGAGGAATCTTTTTTTTATTTCATTTCTTCGCTCAAGCGAAATAACATGACCACTACGCAGGACTTGGAAGCACTGCTTCGTTTCTAAAACAAGGCAACAGGGTGGCTTGCCCTTGCAAGTTCCCTTGGGTTATCGGTGTCAGGCTGGGAACACGGTACAAGTGAGATAAAAAAGAGGTGGGCTGTTAATATATAGCGAGCGGTATTGCCCAAAGCCTCATGACCAGCGTGGACCAGAACCTGACCAGCAGGAGGATCGAACCGTCTTTCCGGATGAGGCAGGACGGCGAACAGAACGCAAAAGGGAAACAAGGCTCCGAGACGGCCCTTTCCCTCGTGGGCGGTCCAAACGCAGATGGTTGTGGGGGGGGACGCTAGACAGAAGCTGGGGAAGCTGGGGATGGCTTGGGTATGCTTGCTAGGAAATGGAGTCGAGGTGGAGGGACAGAGACCCCGTTTTCTATGAGTATTGAACAAGGACGACAAAGTACCGAGGTACCTGGAGACATTGCAGACAACACTTCGGCGCTCGGGTCGACAGAGAATGCCATTGCCGCCTATTGTTTGAGAAGCTTGAACGTTTGGTAACCTTACATGAAGTTCAAAGTTGCGACGATCTCTAAAAGCGGCGAGTTTGTTCTTCCGCCTTTGCTCAACGAAGGTCTCCTCTTTCCCAACAAGGAAAGTTGCTAAGAAGAAATGAGGCGAGAAGGCACGGTCCTGCGAGGCAGTATCGCTAGTGAAACTGTGCAGACACCGGATTTCGCTCAATGGGATCGATGTCGTGTGTGGGTAAGAGTGCCATTCTCTCCCCGTGTCTGTCAAGACTGCATGCGGACGCGTCCGGAGATGCATCGCCTATTTTGATGTAGTACCACTAGAAGCGCCCGGGCTAGGTCAGGCCAGCCAATACCACTACAGCGTTGCATCTTGGCGTATGCAATGTCCACGAGCAGAGAGTCTCTTGCAAGGGCTCCGGAATCAGGCCCGAAAAAGAAGAGCCGTTGTAGCGTACAGTACCCCTCTAGGACCCCAGGCCGAAGCGCGTCCGCTAGCCTGGCAAGCCCCGAACCTGGCATCAAGATCGGGAAGGGTTTGCTTCGATTAGCGTCGTTCGGGGTGTAGCGCCAGGCTTGGGAGCAACATTCGAGATCAATCTCATCAGCATCTCCCTTGCTAATCTCATCCTGTTTTGGTCCATTGTGAGATGGTGCAAAAAGGGTGCGACACACACAGGAAAAGCAGGGCAACCCCGACTCTACCCACTCAATTTCCTTCTTGCGACCTTTAATTTTCTACCTCGGTAGGTATCAGTGGCTTTTACGGGATAAGGTTAATATCAGTGGCCAATGTTGGTTGTCGTTCTAGAGGCCCTTTCTCGCCCTCCCCCATCCCCCCTCAAGAGCCATGCAACCTCTTCGTCCAACTTTGCTCATTCGAGTATTCGGCCCGTTCGGCACACTCAATGCCCAGTACCATGTCATCTATTTCCCTGTCCCGCCTCGAATCAAATCACATTCTCTCGTTCCCATCAGAACAGCATGAGGTGCGTTGGCGCACGAAAAAGGGACGGCCAATATCGGAATAAGAAGAGAGCCTCCCTTCCAGAAGACAAAAACGTAGTATTGATTAATCCGTCTCGGGACTGGACATATGAACGAATGGGCCTCTCGACGAGG